TCTAGGAATAATGGCAATGGCAATGGAATGGAATGTCAGTACCAGAAGAATTGATATACATATTGGAGGAAGCCCGAGTATTTTATAGAAATTTGAATAAAGACAATTTGGAAAGAAGGAAAATTGCAAAATGTGTGAATAGTTAGGTGAATGAGTAAGATAGAATTAGGTCAGAGCCAGGGAGTTATAAGGTCAAATTTGATACAGGTCAGCATAACCCAAAAATAATAGCTATAGTTTAGGACTATGTAGAGGAAATAGAGAAAGCTTTGAGTGCGAGCTAGAATACGTTAGATTGTTTGCTAGATATATGGAAAGTTGATGGGCCAGGTGACATCCAGACCGGTTCCTCCGGGTCTGAGAGTGATATTGTCTATCCAAATGAGCAAGTGAATTCACCAACGTCTGTAATAATGGGTGGAAAGTTCGATTTAAAGACGGCGTCAAGCCTTTTGCCCGTAATGAATGGTTCAGAACTTATCACTAAACAGTTAGTCGACTCTATTGAATGGTATGATGCACTCTTGGACCAGGCAGGAAAAAGGTTGTTAACTACATATGTGTTGAAAACACGTCTGTCTGAGGGGGCAAAATTGAGGTTAAAGTCGGATTATGCTAGTAACAATATTTTAATTCAGGATATCAAGTCAAATTTCATTTCAAAAAAGTCTCCAGCAGTCCTGTCTGTGAAACTCAATTCAGCTAAACAGCGCGGGAAATCTGTAGAAGAGTTTGGTAAATCTATTGAGGAGATGTTGGTTGATCTAACAATTTCACAAGCAAATGGTGACACTCACACTGCAGAAATTCTTAGACCAGTCAATGAAAAAATCGCTATTAATTCTTTCGCAAATGGGCTGCAAAACAACGATTTGCGCACTATAGTTAAATCTCAAAATTTCCAGTCACTGAGCGAAGCTATTAGGGGTGCAATGAATGAAGAGCTAACACATGATACACCTAAAACATTTTTTCATATGCGAGGAAATAATAAAACATTTCGTGGACAAGCGAATTTTGGCGAACAATTTGAACACCGTGGTGCACCACCACAACGCTTCAGTCCTAGGGGTAGCTATGGTAATCGTGGGAATGCGAGTAGGGGTCAGTTCCGAAAAAATTTCAATACTCAAGGATACAATCGTTTTCATTCCAGTCAATCAAGGGGAAATTTCGATGCGGGAAGAAATTTGTCAAGGAATAGTGAAACTAGGGGTAGGAATTATTTTTTGAGTAGTAACGAACGCCCACATACAAATAATACTGAGAATAAAGACACATCTGCTGACATGTTCTTTCGTTCCTGATACACAATATATAGCAAACATAAATGGATTAAATTTTATCAATGCTAGGTACAAAAATAAAAGTTTTAAGCTTTTAATCGACACAGGTGCATCTGTCAGTGTCCTATTTAAAAATAATGTTGACAAACTTGAGAATGTGGATTACTCGAAACATATCAAAATACATGGTATTTCAGGGTCAGTGATTTCTCAAGGCTGCGTGAGTGTTGAGTTACAATTAAATGATAGCACAGAAGTGTGTCATGACTTTCTGCTGATGGATTCATTTGATGACGATTTCAATGGGGTTTTAGGTTCAGATTTTTTCATGCACTACTATACAAAAATTGATTTTGAAAAATCTATTCTTTCTTTTTGGATAAATGATGAGAAAATATGTGTACCGATGAGGTCAAAACATGAACAAGTTGTATCTATTCCTGCAAGATGCGAAATTATTAAATACTTTGACATTCGTACAAGTGAAGATTGCATTGTTTTACCAGAAGAGGTATCTGAAGGAGTTTTTGTGGCTAGCGCCGCAACTAGACCAAATAAGCTCAATAAGATTCCTGTTCGGATTTTGAATGTGCGTGAAAATGATGTAGGTACTGTTGAAAAATTTCACACCAAAAACAAGGTCACTTAATGAGTACGAATTCTGCAGTTTCAGCACAACAGATAAATCAGTTGCTAGAATAGATGCAATTTTGGGCATGTTGAAACTTGATCATTTACGACAATCCGAGAAATATTCGATTCAAAAAATTTGTTCAAAATATTCAGATGTTTTTTACTTAGATGAGGATCCTTTTACGACCACAAACATTTATAAACAAAAAATAAATTTACAGCCATCTAAGGCACCTATATAATAATATGTTAAACCGTACAGGTTGCCACATGCTCATAAGGAAGAAGTGAATAGGCAAGTTAATGACATGCTGAAAAACAGTATAATCGAAGAGGCCAAGTCACCATGGTCCTCGCCTTTATTAGTAGTACCAAAGTATGCAGATAGGGAAGGAAATGAAAAATGGCGTTCAGTTTTGGATTACAGACTTTTGAATAATTGTATTCAAGATGATAAATTTCCTTTGCCTTGCATAACCGATATTTTAGATTCCTTATCGGGAGCAGTATATTTCTCACATTTGGACTTGTCACAAGGTTATTACCAAATAGAACTAGAGAAGGAAAGCAGACAATGTACTGCCTTTGTCACCGACAAAGGGCAATTCCAAATGACAAGACTCCCAATGGGGTTAAAAATTAGTCCGAGTTCCTTCTCAAGGGCTATGTCAATTGCAATGGCAGGCTTGAATAATTCTTCGTGTTTTATTTACCTAGACGACTTAATTGTCTTTGGTAATAGCTTAACAAATCATAATCAAAATTTGGTGGAAATACTAGAAAGACTACGGCAAGTCAACTTGAAGTTGAATCCAAACAAATGTGACTTCCTCAAGCAAGAAATATTATATTTAGGTCACTTGATATCGAAGGAAGGGGTAGCTCCAGATCCAGAAAAAACTAAGGCAATTTTAAACTTTCCGGTTCCAAAAGATGCAACTGAAACCAAACGTTTTGTAGCATTCGCTAATTACTATAGAAAACATATAGCAAACCTTGCAGATATAGCTTCACCTCTAAATTTTTAAGGTCAAAAAGGAGTTCCATATAGGTGGGATTCACGATGCCAGCAAGCTTTTGAAGCTTTAAAGCAGGCATTGATGAACCCTCCAGTTTTGCAGTACCCAGATTTTTCAGAAACAAACACATTTATTCTTAAAACCGATGCTTCAAATGTGGCATTAGGAGCGATTTTGTCCAGTTATAGATAGAACTTTTAGCGATTTGCTTTGCAGTGAAAACTTTTAGAACTTATTTATATGGAAGGAAGTTTATTATATATACAGACCATAGGCCTTTAGTTTACTTATTCGGCATGACTAACCCTTCCAGTCGATTAACCAAATTTAGGTTACTTTTAGAGGAGTACACATATGAAGTACGATATTTGAAGGGTAAGACTAATGTGGCAGCAGACGCTTTGTCCCGTATCACAATCTCGTCAGATGAATTGAAGAATATGTCAAATAGTGTATGTAGAATGTTCGCTGTTACGAGACAACAAACCAAATCCGTTGGCGATAGCAGTTTTAGTAGCACTGTCCACGAAAGACTTGATCACCCTGGAGTGGTAGAGCTATTGAAACCGCCTAAAAGTTATGTAGAGGCTTATGTCACATCAGTGAATGATTTCAATAAAAACATAAGCAAAAATAATTACTGTTTGGAAAATGTAATTTATTTGGAAAAAGCAAATGTCATTTTATTTAAGCCAACTCGATCAGCGTTAGCATCTGGTGCAACAAGATAACGGTTTCTAAAAGAGAATATTTTTCTTATATAGCTTACGAAGAGAAACATATCCTTGAAAGAAATCAATGGTCATAGTGTCATAGATTCACTGGATGATTTTCGTTAGGATATTTTCTCGAAAGCAGCAGGAGAACATAGGTATTATTTTCTAAGATATACCGTCGTGTAAAAAATTGTGGAGTCCAATTCTAATTTTTCAAGACAAGGTTTGTTTAAATCCATGACAAATTGATATTCATCATACAGTTAGTGAAATGGATGAAACTGTAAATCCTTTCGGGTATGCAGTCAAAGTAAAACAAAGTGTACTCTTGTTTCTGTTCGAGCTTTCGGATCTTTATTGGCTCTTCATCAGGAACTCTATAGGTATATAGTGATTTCATTCTTTTTACTAATTCCGTATTCATTTATATCCATTACAGACAGATGCAAAAAACAAGTCGCGGTTGGATGATGTAAGCGCTCTTATTATAGAAGTGGCTAGAGGTGTTATCATTACCCAAGTGCTACACATGTTCATTGCATCTGACTGTACCTCATATACTACGAAATGTACGTGCAGTTAACTATACTATAACAAAAATAGTAATATGTTATGCTGATTCCTAGTTTCTATTAATATGTCCTATAGTAAATACTACTGAAATAAGCATGAGTGGTTATAATATCCACGATAATAATAAATACTAAGTCAGTATAGTAAAAAATACTATCCAATATTGATCCGAGTATACTATTTCCGATAGTGAAGTAGTGGATGTGAATAATAACTTTTTCTCATGGTAAGTTTGATTACAATGTATGAAGTTCATTACAGTGTACGGAAGAGCGAATATTACAGCTGCATCATGTTCAGTCGCAGTATTTGTGCATCGTTTGATTTACTGTTCCTCATAGTGAGTATTCATAAAATTCGAAGGGTAAGGAATTTCCTCCGTTTCTAATTAAGGGTACTATCACATCGTGTAGCCAGTGCCTTGAATAGTTTCACTTGAACTGAATAGTAAAGTTTACTGGGAGGACTGTCTGTCCATATATCAACTGTTTTTACCAGTGAAATTCACTTTTATGCTAGTATTTCTTACAGGCTTTTTCTTTGCGTGTAGTGGTATCTTATTTTTTTCAGTGTATCATCAATACATTCATTTAGAACTGGAGTATTAGAGTACCCCTTGCGAGTACCTACTCATGCATGAAATGTGCATGCGAGTATACTGTAGTGTGAAAACCTGAAACATGTTACCTCGAAAAAAAAAAAGTCTCTTCGGGCGAAGACCTTGTTGATATTGAAAGACAAACATTGAAAATACAAACATTTGAAATACAAACCTCCTATGTCCTTCATGCATGGAACAGAAGGTTGCGGATTACTCAGACTCTCGTGAGAATTCGACAGCACCAACGACACGTTATACAGGGCGTCGTAGAAATCTATATCTTCAGAGATGTACTGACTGACCAATTTGCTATGCCTAGGATAGACCACCAGATGGTAGCTCAGGAGCTGGATGTATTTGCACACAGTGTTCTTGACTCTTTGGAAGAAAGACATATCTTCCGGGTACGCCAGTACAACTTCCGGGAAGAAAGATGGTATCGTGGGATTGCCTACCTATGAAAGCATCTCAAAGTATTCTTTCTAAGTTGGTGCAAAATGAGGTCAATAGAAACAGTTATCGATTTTTCAGACTGTGTTGCTGGGTTGATATTCAAAATTTCTGGTTATTAGAAGAGGGTGCATGTAACAAAGTTTTGAAAAATTTTACAATTAAAAAAAAATTGGAATGTGATTTTCAATTCCTCCTTCAAGCGGAGTGAATAGTGACAGAGATCGTTTTAGCACGTTATTCGCTTATGAACCATCTATGAGAGGTGAATGGAAACAAATTTATTGGATGATTAAATTCGTGGACAGCTCATAATAAGAAAACATTTTTGAAAAATAGAAATATATCATTAAAATGGAGTGAATAGAAACAGCAGGTAAATTGAAACAGCAAGCAAATACACATAGAATAATAGATGTTGATACATAGGTAGTTGTTTGATAATACATTATGCACCCAGGAAATAAAGTGGTATTTGGAATCCCTAGACAAAATTGACAAGAAAATGTGGAGAACAATATGAAAAACAGTTATCTGAGTTGATCATATGGTGAAAAGAACGGAACGAAGAAAAATTTACAGAAGAAAAGGTACTGCTAGCATATTTTTGGAAAAGTCCAAAAACCTCAAAGCATCGTCATTGTGGAGCGTATATTCGATGACAAAAGCCGAAATTGCAACAGATATTTTGAAAATATATTCATGAATTCAGCTTCAACTGCAAAGTGTTTACTTCAAATTCCTAGGAATCCTAGGGATCTTGAGTAACCTCAAATTCCTAGGGATTTAGAGTAACACTTTTTAACCCGAAAATAGGGAAAAAATTAACCCTCAAAATATCTGACATGAAGAATATGTGATAAAAACAACTCAATATATTAAAATTTTTGATGCAATATATTGAGATATTATGTCTGAACCCATATCTTGAATTTCTTCCACCATAGAACATCAAGTTTCATTCAGCAATGCACCGGTGTCACGATCATAAGTTCGACTAAGATAACGGGAAAACGGTGTTGCCAATTGGAATAAAATCAGTCAAATTCGATGAATCTATGTTGTGACATATGAAATGTGTAACCAAGATAGGAGTTTCTAGAATGAATTTGGGAAATTTGTGATTCTTCTCAACAAGTGCTGCTCCATACTTGTTCCCATTCGACCCCAAGTTTCCATTCAACCCGTTTAACTTTTCTGTAATGTTACGAGAAGAACTTTCATTCTCTATTAATCTGAGATAACTAATTTTGCAATTTGAATTCACATAAAAACATGGTGACTATACCAGGTGACACAGGGTATCGGGCCACCCCTGTAACTTCCAGCAATCCCAAACAGATTATTCTGGAATTTCGTTAACACATTCATTCAAGCAACCGTTTCTGATTCTTTCACGATTCAATCCAATATGGCGAACTTCTGGTTTTTCTGGAAATGCCAACAACTTTGTTTTTTTTTACATATGAACAATTGCATTCTTCTTGACAAGATTCAGTAATGTTGTTTTCCACAGCAAGAAAATTCATGAAACTAGGTGCTTCAATCGCTTGGAGCGCACGAAAGGAAATTCCTACAATGTTCGAGAGCACATAGCGCATACCTAGGGAGGATAGGAAGAGGAGGTAGGTATCGGCATTTTCTTTGAACAATTGGAGATTATAAGTTCTTGGAAATACCTCCTCAGTTTTGCCGTTCTATGTACGAACGAGTTTTGATAAACTGCTGCTCGATATATTTCGAGGTTGTTCACGAAATAATCTGCTGACTGAGCTTGTCGAGTTTGTCTGACTGGTATAGCTAGTGGGATTTCCGAAAAACATTCCTTTGGTAGTATCTATGGAAAAGTGGAAGGTTGCCGATCTTCCTATGGTGTTTCATTGATGTCGAAGAGTTAGTGAGTGTGGCGTCGCCCACCAGGCGAATAATTCTTCTCTGGATGGAATTTAGGAGCATCAGCGTAAGTTCGGGTGCGCTGAACCCTATTTTTTGATTTTTGAATGTACTGTGTTACTGCACTAAAATACAAAAATGATATGTCATGTTTTCCTCAATGTATGTTCTAGACTAGAGAGACATGTAGATGGGTTCCATTCGAAAAATATGAATTTCTGATGGAAATGTGTTGTGACTCATCGATATATAAGTGACACAAAAAATGATTCTTCAGAAATAACTATGTGGGACCCTTGAATATTTACACTAGTGTGAATACTCAATGGTAAGACTCATCGGGAATAGCTTCGACCACATCTTATTCATCCACTGAGTAAAATAAAAAATCAATTGTAATTTTCATTTCTTCTCATTGTCTGTCTCAAAAAAAAATTGCTGTCATTTCCAGAAGAACCACAAAATGGTTGCTTACATGTATAATACCGTATCAAATTTCAGGAAAATTCGTTCACAGCGGTGGCTTGATATACCCTGATGTGTCACTCGGTACAGGAACTTGTGAAGGAACCATTATTCATTGAATGAAACGTAACTGTTCGATATATGAAATGAATTACTGACAATGAAATTTGTCCGTCAAGAACCCCAATGAATGGTTCCATAGGAAACATAGTCGGAGTCATCTCAAAAAAGTGGATAAGTAACTATATAGGTTTATAAAAATAACTGTTTTTCAAACTGTTTCCTGGATTATTTTTATGACTTGTAGATGGTCCGAAAGTTATTGAATGTTCTTCCATATAAAGGTTCAATTACAATAAAACTTTATCACATTTGTAACTTTTTGCTTTATAAATTTCATCCATATGGATGCCCCTTTCCCCAGAAATGATTTTATGGAATGTGTTACTTCTTTATCATTTACCTGAGAAAAATGTTGTTCTCCTAGAGTTTTGTGATTCAATGAAATATACAAGTTGATTTTCTAAAGCCGCTGGCAGATTTGGAAACTACATCACTAAGATAACCAATTATAGGAAAAAGTTGCCGATTTGATACAGATTCCGAAGTGATATGTTATATGGAGTTATTCAGAACAGCCTTATTGTCATTATTTTATTCAAATGGGTCGCGTTTTTCAAATAAATTGAATTGCTTTTGAACCATCAACAATTAGATCAAACCCCCTACCACCCCACCTCTTTTGGTTTATGATTTATGGAACACCCTATATATATAAGGAGCTATAATAGGTAAGCACAAAATATTACGAAATGATTTGTACTGTAGATACGCTCATGGCTCAGAACGACTGCAACAAATGTATTATTTTCTAAAAAAAAAAACATGTATCTGGGTGGCCAACTAAGAATCCAGAGTTCGATACCTCTGTTGTCTTGAGAGATACAAAAAAAAGTCATGTATCAAAATTGAAGTGATAACCGAGCTTCACATTTCAAAATTTCTTTGAAATACACAGGGTGTTCCGTAAGGTCACAGCACATCAAAGCTATGTTTTTTTCATCGGAACACCCTATATTTTATTTCATTTTTGAATTCTCCCTGAAGATCTGATTTCAACGACCCATCATACTTAGGGTCTAGCAGTGAAAGTTCTGACATATAGGGTGTGCAAAATCGAGATTTTCCAAGTACAGGATTATTTTCTGTCGAAATTGTTCATTATTGGTCGAAACGGTTTACATGTCCCTATCTCAACTTTTCACTCACTACCAATTGGTGTTCAATTGACATTTAATTGGAACAAATTATAAATTTAGATTTTTTGACCACCTTGTATCAATTTCAATAGAACACCAATTGATAGTGAGTAAAAAGTTGAGATAGGGACATGTAAACCGTTTTGATGAATAATGAATAGTTTCGACACAAAAAAGGTCCTGAACTTGGAAAATCGTGATTTTTCACACCCTTTATCTCAGTAAATATTACTGCTAGACCCCAAGTATGATGGGTCGTTGAAATCAGATCTTCAGGGAGAATTCAAAAATGAAATAAAATATAGGGTGTTCCAATGAAGAAGACATAGCTTTGATGTGCTGTGACCTTACGGAACACCCTGTGTATTTCAAAGAAATTTAGAAATGTGGAGCTTGGTTATTACTTCAATTTAGATACATAACTTTTTTTTGTATCTCTCATGACAACATAGAAATCGAACTCTGGAGTCTAAGTTGGCCACCCTGTACATTTTTTCCAGGGCCTATCTCTTATCACGAAGATTTGTAATGAGCAATTCCGCAGTAGCAGTAGCAGTAGCAGTATACGCATAATGAAGGCATCCCTAATATCTCTCTCACTCACCAGGTGGTTCATCCAAGAGTTTGCAGCGTGGTTATTGAGCAAAACCAGGTGGGCATTGAAATGGTTGGATAGAGCTTTCACCGCTTCTATCAAGAACTGGGGCACAATCACCACATCGAATTCATCGCCGGATCTAATGAGCTCTTGCATCTTTGGATCTGCTAATAATTCTTCAGTTATTGTGACTCCCAACGAGTTGAAGAAATAGGACATGAACAGCATCTTACTTATATCGGATTTTGGCATCTCCGTAGGACTTATCTGGTTTTTTAATAATTCTGCAAATGAACAGGTATTCACACACTCATGGAGCAGGAATATTGTATTTCTAATTTTTATTCACAATTATACAGGGTGATTCAGGTTTTGAGCAAGGAAAAATTTGAAGAGCAAAAAAAGCCTCTGAATTGAACGATCCACACAATTTGATCATTGAGAGATGCCAGAGGCGTACCACGAAAAAGTTTGGAGGGGATAAAGAAGCCTCTACCTCCAAAAACGTATCACCCTGTGGATTTTGAGAATCATCAAAATGCTTGAAATGATGATCTTCTAGGAAGTATTGACCACACTAGATTTCAGAATGATATCTTGAAAAGTAAGCGAGATATTTCAATTGATAGAAAAAAATAGTTAACCTTTGACCCCCTGTAGCTCCGCTACTGAACGAGATCGGACTAATGTTAATATACACTTTTTTGATTGTAATGATCCCACTAAGCGAAGTAATATCTTAACAATATTGCAGCGATATTTCAATGTTATGTGTAATGTTACATCAGATATTGTCGCTATCTTACTGCAAGGTCGCAGCAACTACTGAAAAAGGACGTTCAGCAATATTATGAATGTAATGTTCGCAAATGAATCATTCCAGCAGAGTTATTGTAACATTGTGTATGAAGTAAAGTAACATTTCATACTCAATGAACGAATGTAATCTTATTGGTATATTTTGTTAAGGTTACTGGCAACATAAAATAAAAAGTAAAGGAAAATTACATATTTCATATTATAAATTATACATAGTAACAATATTCTAATAATCGAATAATCGTGTCAACTATTTCATAGTTTAAAAGTAGATTGAAAAAATTTCTAAATATTTTTGATATAACGGTACTAGGTCTCAAAGGCACTGCACTGCATAAGAACCTGGAACAAAGAAAATAATGATAAAATACAATAGTCAGGAATCTACCTGTTAGTTGAGTTAGTTCATCTACCGGTTAAACTTGAGAGTTGAGGATTGTATACTTGATTCTGGAAATATTCATTTTCCAAGGTATGCTGAGAGTATCCTTATAATATACACTGAAGATAATATGAATATTTCTCAGCATCTAGAGAATATTCTGAAGAACGATATTTGAGGTTGTTTTAGAATGAATTGTGAGTGCGAGCTCAAAGTTTTTTCTACAACAACTAAGTGCAGTAAAATGAGAGATAAGATTTGATGATTCGAGCAATGATTCTACTATCACTATGAGGTTAAACAAAACCTCAATGTCCCTAAGTGTTTCAGTAATAAAAAGGATTGATTTCATATAATTTGTAATGTTTTATAGAGTTCCTGATAAAGAGCCGATAAAGACCCGAAAGCTCAAACAGAAACAATAAGAAAGTAGGTACACTTTGATTCACTTTGACTGCATTCACTGACTGAATTCACGAGGTTGTCCTATAACTTTGAGTAGGTATACGAATAATTATTATCATTCTATGTTATTTTTTGTCGATCGAACGATCCGCTTAGATCAATGAACGATGTATGAATTTGTAAAATGTATACCTAACCTAGAATAACTGATGTTGACTTACCTATAACCATCAACTGCTAACTGCGATTCAAAACCTTCCCAACTGCCTAATATCACATATCGCCAGATCACCACTTATACCTCAATTTATGTTCCAAAGTATATTATTTATTGGTATCATTTGCCATTTGGAAGTGTACAACAACAAAATACCTGTTACCGAAGCCAAATACGAACAAATATGGCGACTAAGATAGTGGCGTTTGTCGAATGTAAGTTTGCGACTGCGCGTAGGCATTTCATGAAGTGACGTCTCTCGATCGATACCCAATGTAGCATTTTGTATATTTCAGCTATATTACATTTTTAATTCAAATATGTGTTGCATCCCATAAGTTGTAGCAATATTGTTTGTAGTTACCTCATGTTATTTACAAACTCAATGAAGTATCAATGTTGATGCAACATTACGATTGAAATTTCCATATGTAACGTTGCACTGATATTGTTCGTAGTTGATCCATGTAATGTTGCAATTTCAATGAGAATATATAGTTGATGCAATATTGCTATTGAAACTTAATTGAAAGGGTCATTTAGTAACTTACAAACAATTTGTCAGTAAGTTTCTCTGTTATATCGTCAACACGAATATAGCAGCAAAATAGATACAATATTGTATTTTCATATTACGGAAGAAAGCTTCACAATATATTGAAGGCAATATTTTGTAACATTACATATGTTTAGTGGGATGAGATCTATCTTCCATTCCAGTTTGTACCTTAAAACCTGAATCACCCTGTATGAGTAATGTTGTCATTACTAACGTCATTGAAGCTTGAGAAGTGTCACATTGCACAACCTCTACTTCCCGCCCTCACAACTTCCCGTCTTCACTTCCAGCCCTCACTTATGTAATATTTTAGGTATATGCAGAACGAAACAGATGATTACTAATTTTGATCAGAAAATGATGGTTGTGAATAAAAGAGTATACCAACCTCGGTAGGAAGTTTCATTCCTGTCTCGAAATCAAAGCAAACCAACTAGTCTCACGACAGGAATCAATCTCTTTCCACCTCGGTGTGTAATACACTATTACCTACATTGAATCGAAAATATCAACTACCCAGGCAACCAGATGACGTTCCAGTGACGTATTTTTTACGTCACTTCAATGACCAAGTTGACGTCACATGACGTGTTAATGACGTTAATAAGTCACAGCCCAATGACGTTATATTAGTCACGTCGTATTGACTTCATTCACTCACCAAACTGTGACGTTTGTTTGACGTCATAATGACGATTAAATCTGGCGATGATACTTAAAAAAGATTCCTTTAACATGTTGTGATAAACATCACTGGCCCCTGATGACATTATATAATATTGATTACAACATTGTTGAGTCTGCTTGGTGGGTCCCTCCTGTGCCATGTTCATTCAATCGCCTATTCAGCAGCGCTATGCTTCAGTACACATCTCCATCAGAATGCAATCAGTTACTCGTATTTGTATGAAAAATTATGTAGTTTGTGTCGGCGAGATGTAAGCAAACAAAGATTAGTTTTATAGCAATGGGAAGGATGTTTGGCTTCACTTTGTTGAATAATGTGTATTGATGCATTCCTTGTCACCCAAAAAAAATCTAAATTGCAAATTATTAAAAAATTTCCTGAATGACGAAGATCACCAAATTGGTACGTCACACCGACGTGATTTTAAGACGTTATAGATACGTCACTGCAACGTCATAAGAGTAACGGTATCAATTCAGGTATATCTAATCAATCATCGGTGTATATACATAGCTTGTTGGTTTCCGAGATATACAGTGTTTCAAAGTCTTTTAGAAAAAAGTTTTCTCCTACCTTTCGGGTATATTGATAATTCCAATAAAACTTGCATGTTGATTGGCTTTCATTAGTCACACTTCCATTTACCATGATAATATATATTAGTATTCATGGTTTTGAGAAGGTCTGGGAAAAATGGACGTCCCTGCAACGTCATGTAACTGACGTCTTCTTTCACCCATCTAAGTGACGTTCACTCGACGTAAAAACGATGACGTGATTGTCACGTCATAGAAAGTACGTCATAGTGACGTCATAGATTGGTGTGTGACGTCTCTGACGAAAAATCACCAATCAGGGACGTCACAGTGACGTGAACATTTGTCATATGGTTGCCTGGGTAGGGAAACGCATTTGAGTGCTTTGTATCAATCAAAATACCTATGCATTATGATGAAATTGAGTTTCAAAACTGAATAAATAACTCAAAGTGTACACCTGTCACACTTGGTAGACATCGGGAATGAATTCATGAAGAGGTATGAAGAAGATTGAAAATGTGGCACAATATCCCAAAATTCAATAAAAGTACCTATATAGATGGATATGTGTTCTGTATCCTGATCCCTTTTCTGCGAACAATTTTGAAACAAGGTACCACTGAAAATGTTGCCATTAGAGGAATACCACTACAATTGATCACAAGCTATCTGACAAATAGACAACAATGCGTTAAAATAAATACTACTCATAGCGATTTCAGAACAATAGAGTATGGTGTTCCTCAAGGGACTATGTTAGGACCCCTCCTATTCAATCTATATGTGAACGATCTTTTCGAGTTGGAAACAGAAGGTGATATAATGAGTTTTGCTGATGATACGGCCGTTTTTTATGAAGACGAATCATGGCAGAGTATTAAAGCAGAAGTGGAGACAGACTTCAAAAGAATTATTGAATGGTTTAATTATAAGCTCTTGATAGTAAACTTAGAGAAAACTTATTTCATCCCATTCACATCATACCAGAACAATTTACCTGAATACAATTCACTCGAAATACCATGTGATACTCCTGTGCGAATAAAATCTGCTAATAAAATCAAGTACCTTGGTGTTATTATCGATACACATCTCAAATGGAATGAACATGTCAAGTATGTCACGCAAAAACTAAGATGTCTGTCACCAAAAATGAAAAAAATGTTAAATATACTGAACTCAGAACAAGTCAAAATTATATACTCAGCACTTGTTGAAAGTCATCTGATTTATGGAATAACTTCTTGGGGAGGAGTTACAAATTCGCATTTGATCAACCTACAAAACCATACAAAAATATATCCTTAAGATTTTATTGGGGAAAACTTTCACTTACCCGTCTGATATTCTATTCAAAGAAAGTAAATGCTTCGATCTGCGGCAGTTATTTTGTTATAGACTGTTACTGAGACAACACAAATATAGAGCTGATTTGATTCCATATACCTAAACATAGTTATGATACTCGTAAAGAACAATCTTCTTCAGTTATCCCCAGAGCGGAGAAAACCATTTTCCAAAGATCTTACAATTACTTAGCTCCAAAGATATACATATAAATGCCTGACCACAGAATTGAGAGCAATCCAATCATTTCCATTATTCAAAAAAAAAAATTAGGGATTGGCTGCATCTAAATCCACGAAGCTTTATTCATGGCCTTATTGATTTGAAA